CATATTCCACTTAGTTTTTTAGATCAAAGCCCAGTTAGAATCACATCCAAATACCTTTGAGCAGTTTATCTCCAATTCTGTAAATAGCACTTCTTGAAGGTTAGAGGACTATTGCCATTTCTCTTTATATTTCAGCAATATTTAAACCTGAAACCTGTATATGTATACAAGGTAGCATCAATAAGTAAATAAACAGAATACTGAAAGTAAACCATCACACTGCTCTTGTGATTGAGACTAAAAATGGAAGTGTCTGAAGCATCACTAACATACACTTATTTTTTAGTCTAAATATTTAAGGACTTTACAACACGGTGAAAAATGAAATGCCAGAGAATTAAAGAACAATGTCAAATATATCTTTTAAATTCCTCATTAAGTCTCCCCAGTCATATTTCAAAAGATTCTAAATATTTATGACTTTCTAAACTATTGGACATGAATTAATCATTTGATACAGAACTCTTTCCACAAGTTGCTTTGGTAGTGCAGTGACAGACAAAAAAAGGAAAGCTTAACAGAAGTTTCATTTCCTCCATGAATGAGTTAATAAAGGAGGAATGCAGATATCTAATTGCACAATTTGCAGTCATTTCTGAAGGGGGGTGTGTGTAGCAGAGGGGGGAAAACACAGAAGATGGAAAACCTGCAGAGAAAAATGCAACAAACTGACATATTTTGGTGTAGACTAAGCATGGGTGTAAACCCCATCTCTTTCTCTCTCGACAAAAAGGATCCGAGCTATTCCCGTGCCAGGAATTTCCTGCAACTATCTCATGTGCAACACAGTCTCCTTCTCCACAGTGTTTTTCTCTGAAATGCCTCCTGGTTGCTTAAGCGAGACTTGCTGAAGAATGAGAACTTCTAGGAGGCCTCCCGCTGTCAGGAGGATGAGGCTGAGGGCTGCCAACAGGCGCAGCAGATGCACTTGAGGGATACGCACCAACTCAGCAACACTGTCACCAGTGTCAGCTCACATCTAATGTAGGCATGGCTCCATTCAAATAAAACAGGATTGGCAATTTGAAAACAGAAATAACAGGAAGGGGTGGGGAAAAAAAAATATCTATGCATGATTCAAATATTCTGGTTACAGCGGACCACGAGTGGGGTGTAGCAAGATTTAAGGTTTATCATTGTTAACACAGGAGAAGAGCTGGACATGGGGCAGGACAGAGGCCTGCACAAAAAGCCTGGCCGGTAGCATGCAGTGAAGAACTTGCTGCAGATCTGTAACAGATATACAGGAGGATGTGTTTCTCAGAAATAATTCAAACCTGGGAAAGTTCAAAAAACTTCACAAAAGGCAGATAAGTTTTCTAGCCATCTGAAATGAAACAATGTACCAAGAAGGTACATATGCTATGCAAGCCTACATGCAACTAAACTCGTATCATCTTCCTCTGCAAGTTCTTAAGAAATCTGTTTTAATCCGTATTTAAAAAAAAAAAATTCCTTTTCAATTAGATATGAATGCGTTTATACAGCTTTCATCAGAGCAATCTGCAGGCAACGGTACAGCCTTCAGCTGGTACTTCATCAAGGTGCCTCCCCCCTCCCAATTTATTTAATTTAGCCATTCTAGTGGCTAAAGAGATGATTTTGTCATATAAATGACATTGTAACATCCACTGAGGCATTCTAGAGAAGTGGGAACACTTGATTTTCACTCTGACCAAAACAACTTTTTACTGCAGTAGCCAACAGTGATGCTTCTCAGACAGTAAGATCTGTGAAGAAAATTTGTAAAGAGGTAATACAGAACTCAAGTTGACAAAATTATATTTCTGTAACTCTGATACTTCCCCCACACTGAAGGGACAGTGTCTATTGCGCTATGAAAAAGAATTTGTGAAAAGTAAAAGCAAAACAAAACCTCTTTCAAAATAATGCTTCAGCTCCAGCATAGGCTTGCATCAGTAACTGATGCTGATGATTAGCAGATGGTTCTGATAGATGCATTGTCTATGTTTTTTCCCCAAAGTTTTAATTCTGTTCTTTAAATTCAGAGATATGACATGAAGATCTGCACATGGCATACACCCACAAATAGATCACTGAAGTTAAAGGATTATTCTGTCTTTTACCATACTTTGGTGGTTTTACTCCAGAACATTTTTTTTTCCCCCAATTTATGATGCAGACATACTGCTAATAGCTCCATCTCCAGAAAGTGGTAATAATTCCAGATGCCTTTCAACAAGGAAAAAAATAGCTCAAGTGTCAATGATGAAGGAAAACAAGCTTCATCTGCACAATCAGAAAGAGCGGACACTGGCTGTGTTTAATCCAATGGCAATTTTGGTAAAGACTTCAAGTAGAGTTAGATTAATGCCAGGAGAGCCTTCAAGATTTATAAAAAAACCCCAGAAGTTGATTATACATAGTTGAGCTTAAGGAAAACTGCATCCAAATGCTCATTAGTCCAATACAGTATTGTTCTGTCTTGATTTCTGCTTTTTGTATGTTTTTATGCACTCTGCTCTCAGTACTGTCAGGGGTGACAATGGGGAGGTGGCCAGATAAGAAAACAGAATTACTATAGCTAGGTTAATCTTTATTTCCTAATATATACTTTTCTGAAGAATAAAGATATCAAAAGTAAATTGCAAACAAATACAGCATGGAATCTTACTGAAGGTTTCCTTTAAACAGGAAAAACAAGGAACAAGTGAAAACTATATTGCTGGACATTCTACTGTATGATCTGAACACACCAAGTCAAGTATTTCTATTAATTTCTGGCAGCAGCTTTCTCTCTTTGGCCCCAAAGTAGCTGTACCCTAGAAATATGAATGCTACTGGGTTTTTTTGTTTTGTTTTGTTTGCTTTTTTTTAAAAAAAACAAATATAAATTGATTCACAGTTCGCTGAGGACCTGATTCCCAGCTCAAGCCTGGTGAACACTAGCAATTCATGGAATGTAATGGCCAGTGACATACAGGGGGTCAGACCATGATGATCTCATGGTCTCTTCTGGCCTTAAACTCAAGGACTCTATGACACATTTGTCCAGCTTGGAAGTGAACTCTATTTCCATTTTAACGTAGAACTATAAGATGACGTTAGAGACCATACACACATCTAACTGAAAGTTGGAAGGTAACAGAACACTCACAATAACAAAAAGCAGCTGCATGAAGACAGATTTAAAGTAATAGTGCACACACTTAAAATAGCGTGCTAGACATGCTTTTATAAAATTAGTCAAGAAAAAAATTGGAGTGTTTACAGGGCAGCAGAACTTTTTAGGGTTAACTCTGTTTCCGTCCAGAGAGCAAGCACGCAGACATACACACGCTACCGTGCATACAGCTACGACATTGTAGCGTGAAGGGTCTTTTACAGGATCTGCACATCCTGATAGAGCTACGCGGCGCGTGCATTATAGTACTGGAGCACTGAATCAATTAACCTTCTCTGGCTCTTTTCCAGCCAAACCCCCACTCATTTACTTCCCTGCTTTCCAAGCACTGGAGCTGGATACACTGGAATGAGTCAAATCAACAAACAAGGGTAGCAGCAGACTGCGAGCTTTGCTAATGAACAAAGAGAAAACTGCACATAGACTCTGCTAATCACTTAAGTAAAATCATCAAAAGAATGGAAGAGAAGGGACAGCAAAAAAAAGAACACGACCTTATTTCTATCTTTTTTAAAATATGGCAAGAATGATTCTTCTCCTCCATTCAAGAGCTGGAGAAAATACCTGGGTAAGAAAAACAGTTCTCCCAAAACAGAAATTCATAATCTTGGTGTTAGAAGAATCGTTAAGTGCTAAACAAAAGCACACAAAGAGATGAGCTTTAGAAAAATTATAAAAAACAAAATGAAATGAACAACTTGTTTTCCAGAAAGTAGTGAAAAATCTTATCTTAAAATCCACCGCGTGATGAAAAAGAAAATTACAAAGGATCTTCCTGGATGCAAAGTGAACTCTACTAAAATGCAAGAGAAAGAGGTAAGGCTTTCTTCACCTGAAAATTGCAACACATCAAATCTTCTCAGTAACTTGAGCATTTGTTCAGCTTAACACCGTGACAGCTGTTTTAGTCTCTGCTTGAAGGGGGAAATGTAAGCGTTAAGACTTCAGCAGAGTTGGGGGAGAGAGAGAGATGGGGAGAGAAAGACGGAGTGAGAGAAAAGGCTGTGCTTAATAAAAGCCTTGCTCAGATTACAAAAACAAGCGGTTTACTCACCACCCCCACCCCCTTCAAGTAATGGGTAAATTTAGATGTCTCAGTTCCATAAATCTTTACAGTCCCCTTGAGACTATCACCAGTGTTTTATTGTCTACAAGCTTCCTGACCCTAACCTGATAAATTAGGAACTGCAGACATTCAAACAGAAACCTCATACATAATTTCTGAAGATATTTTTGGGGTGACCCTCTGCGGAGAAATAGGATTCTTAATAAGGGGAAATATGGGAACTGCCGTCTGCCTACGCACACGCTGCTGGAGACTAGACACTCGGGAGAGGAGGAGTTGCATATACACAACGCCAGCATCTGCCTTTGCATCAGTTTGTACTTAAAAGAGCAAATCTACGTACACTGTATCTAAAGGGAACCATTTGGCTTCCAAATTAGCTATCATTTTTTACTGCTGTAGAAAGGGGGGGAAAAAAAAAAAAAAAAGGAAGCTAATGCACTGCTTACTTTACACAGCTATTGAATTGTCTCCTATAATCTTCTGAGACCTGAACCTTGCTATAAAGGGGAGACCAGACCGCTGAACCCTACCAACCAGAGATGGACACAAGACAGGTCTTTCATTTTTAAGAAGTAATTGCGCCCAGCAAGGCACGGGATAAAAAAATTGCATACCAGCTCGGACATGGTTACAGTATCTCAAAATAGCAGATGACCAGTTTACCACACTGACCATGCTGGCCTTTCTTCAGGACCATCCTGGACCAGAGAGGAACAGTGAACTCTTGCACCGTACACAATTCCTGCGCAAAATACAGCTCCTGAATACGTTCTGCTGGACACAAAAATGTCCTATTCTGTACATTTCTTGAACGGGTCTGGAGTTGGCAATGGATCTTTGTCGCCTGTCTCAGTAACAGGAGAACCCAAGCAGGACTACCCAAGTGATGAACAAGGAAACAAAGTGCGTTGGGCAGCTTTACTGATCCTCCTGGTGATAATCCCCACCATTGGGGGGAACATACTTGTCATACTGGCAGTGTCGCTGGAGAAAAAGTTGCAATACGCTACCAACTACTTTTTGACGTCCTTGGCGGTGGCAGATCTGCTTGTGGGTCTGTTTGTGATGCCAATTGCCCTTCTCATAATATTATTTGGTAAGTACAGAGCATTTGTTTCATCAGGTTAGCATATGGGGTACAATTTGGGGAGGTCTAATTTAAACAGAATAACTGTTTGGTTGTCACCATTACAATTTTAAAAATCACTTGGATGAGGGCTGCTAAACCTTCTCTCTCTCTCACCTTAATATAGCTTAATGTCTTTACAGGAAGTATACCCACTGTGACATTCTTTCCTTTGAAACAAACCATTCGAAAGTCACCTGAGATTTAGAACTGATACTAAATTTGGGCCGGACATGGGAAATTACGTTTTTTACAGTGTAATATTATTTTTAACAACATCAGCACAATGTTGGTATATCTGTTCTATTGGATATTACACTAATTGCAGGCAGTCCTCTTAAACGTGAAATGAAGACTAGGTATCTGTTCAGTACAGTGAACAGGTTTTGAACTTTCTAGGACTCAGGCACCTGATTTTACCTTAGTATCAACTCCAAGCTGCATGAGCAATCAGAGGTGGTCCCTGGTATCATCACTGACAACAAACTTTACCAGTACTAGTTTCAGAGAAACAGATTTTCTCCCACCCTGGGGAAAGGGGCAGGTTTGTAAAGCATCCCAAAGAATTAACTCATTTGTCAAGCCAAGGAAGCCTCAGTCTGTGTACCTCATGTTTCAGATTCAGATTTATCATTTAGTCTGGCTTACATGGAATAAAATAGGTATTTTTTACACGAACATACATTGGGTGTGATATTTTCCTTCTGGTTAGTCACTACAGAACAAGCATGACTTTTTCATATTCTCTCATGCCTAGCTTTATTTCAGATATTGCTTTTGACAAATAATCAGAGGCAGCTCCATGGGAAAGTCTCTCTCTACTCCTAAAGTTTTTTTAAGAATACATTTTAAATGGTCATTTTTGTATCATACAAATGGCGGAGGGGGGGGATCAAAGAGACAGGTTTTTCAATAAACTTATGGATTTACAAAATTACCTTTAAGGTATAGATACCACTGCGCCCTAGATAATGAAAGGCTGCAGCAGTTAATTTTTCCTGTGCTAGAACTCTAAGAGTTGCCTGAGCAACAAGCAAACACAATCAAAAACTTTATTTCAGAAAGGCCATCAGTAGCTTTTGTTTGCTGCAGAAGACTGGTATCACTTTATTAACAGATGTGTTTATTCACTAAATGCCTTGACACTGAACTTCTGTATATTACAGACTGCTGCTCCCTAAACAGAAGTATGAACTGGAGGTCAGAATTCATCACTGAGATCATAAAATAGCCTTTTTTTCAAGCAACAGTTTCTAAAAAGAAAAATGAACATATATGACCAGGACAGTGATTTCTAATTTGAAAAAACCACAGTCACTTATACAAAGCTTTGGTATGTCATGTATGTGCACAAGTGTGTGCAGAGGCAAGAAACAGATACGTACATACATACACACAGATACTGTAACTGCTTAGTTCCTGCCAAAGGCCTCATTAATAATAAAAATAAAACTGTTAACCATAAAAAGTACTAGTATTGGACTAGCAATCAATACAAAGGGAAGGCAAGTTCTGGATTTTGTGGAGTTGTTTTTTGGTGGTGGTGTTTTTTCGGTTTGGATTTTTTTTTTTATTATTATTTTCATTTTGCTAGACTGACAAATCTTTTCTTTTTAACTTTATAAAGAGACTATTGCTCCTTAATCTCTCAAGTAACCAGGTCTTAGCACTGGATTAAAACAGTTTAAAGCATGCTAGGAATCTTAATTTAAAAGTCAAACAAAAGCATCTTTCCTGTTGCAGGAAATTTACAAGAAAGTAGCAAAATTAGTTATAATTAACTAAGTAAAACAGCAACCAGCCTTTCACATAGCAGTGGTTAAAACTGAAATTTCTTGCATACAAGTCTCTCTTTGGCAGCCAACCAGAAAAACTGCTTTGCCTCTTCACTGACTGGGAGAAGATGCTGAGGTGTTTACAGATGTTCAAAGCATGAGCAAAACATGAGGAGTTACTGGAATGAAGCTAGAACAGACATTTAATATTTAAATATTAAAAAAGTCTAAATCTTGGAGCTGCATTAGCCAGATAACTATTTGAACATCGAATGATCATTGATAGCCAGAGAGCCAATTAAATCCAGCCTCCTGGCACTTCCACACAGGAATGTTTCCATAATAATTAAATAGCTGGGTGCAGCTTCTAGATACAGAATACAAATATTATGCTTCCTATTTGGGACTGATATCTAATTATGTGGAGAATATTTGAGGGACAAGGTGTGAACTGAAGTGCAGTCACATTAAGTGATCCTGACTGTAAAAACTACCATGTCACAGAGCGTTCAAATTCAAAACCTACTACAGATATTGGCTCCATGCCCTGACGGTCTGCTTACAGAAAAATCTTCAGAAATAGATTGTCTCTGCAATAAAGAGCTGCCCCTTTTATAGATAAATAAATACATCTGTAACTCACAGGTATAATACCATGAGCAGCAGAATTATTCTCAGCAGAGCAACCAAAATGTACTCTGGTACAAATATACACTGCAATTTTAAATTAAGAGTGCGAGCATCAGACTATACAAACAGTTCATTGCTTTTATTGCTTGCTAAATCCTTCTCATTTCTTCTAAAAAAGGAGAGCATGTTAGGAAATAACAGTATTCTCTGAAATCTAGCTTTCAAAAGAGTTATCCAAATTTCTAACACTCAGAACTACTGAAGGAAAGCAGCTCTGGTCTGCTCCAACAGCCTGGATCTATACTAGGACAATCAGAACTTGTAACAATCCAAACTGAGCATGACCTGCTAATGGCTTCGTATCACCACTTGGAAGGACATACTCATTTTACCTTCACTGTGAATTATAAAGCAGGACAACAAGCAAGCAGGTTACCATCATGTTCAAGGGTCAGAGATGCTTTCTGAGTCCTGAGGGGAAATTAATATTCCATCTTTTCCCTGCTCCCAAGCTAACTGAATAGGTCAACAGTGATACATACCACCACCACCACCAGGAAAGCACAAAATCTCATCCCAGAGCAGTTCCTCAAACACTAGGCACAGAGCTTCTAACACAGGTGTGACCAACAAATCAAAATAACTAAAAGCAAAATATACCACAGTATGAATCCTAGACAACTACATGACTCTTCTGGACTTTAAGGTATCAGTTTCACAGTACCTGTTTTGTTTAAATAATAACCATATTCTTCAATTCTTATCAGCTACTGCATTTAAAGTCTACTCTGATTTTGTTTGGATAAAAAAATATAATCTCATACACACAAATACAATAGTACATAATACTATAATCATGAATGTGATAACATAACTGCCTTCTGCACCCAGTTCAAAACAAGACAAAAATAAAGACAAGACAAAGCTTTCTCTGTTCAGTTGTACTTATCAATTAACAAAAGCTCTTACAACTCAAAAACGTACAAGCTTGCTTTGCATCGGGCAGCTGTTTAAATGCATCTATATTTAAAAGAAGGAAAATAGGTTTTTGTTGCAAAATATTTGAGGGTTTTCTTCTGTAAAGAGAAAATTAAATACAAAAGGAAAGAATTTATCATGCTGCAATTCTCCAGAAAGCAAAGCAGTTATAATCCAGGGAGTGGCATGTTAAGTACTCTCCAACAGAAGTATTAGCTGCTCACTTGAAATCCAGCTATGTTATCTGCCATCCTTCAAGATGTAGAATACACTTTCCATTGTTCACATTTTATCTGAATTAATCCTTTGTCACAGAGTCAAAAGAAGTAGTCTTATTTTTCTGGAGTGAGCAAAAACATTTAAAGCCCATCAAATCAATTATTTCTTTTAATTTTTTTTCTTGCCTTTTTTTTTTTTTAAAAACCAGCTGGCTACATGAGCCACAAGACATTTTGGTTTTCCTTTTTCCTTCAGAAAGACACCACACCTTACTGCCAGCTGAAAGTGTAGACAGAAAAATTAAATATGAGTAAGCATTTCATAATATACTAATTACAACTTTCTCATACCTGCCTGACAGAATAGTTTTTTGAAGCATAATTTCAACCATCATATCTATTTCAGGAAATATGCAGCTAGATATCAAAATTTACTGGTTAATGATTTGAAAATAGACCACCTCTTTCCTTTCTGCCTCACTGCCTACATCATCCTCACCTGGACTCCACTGCTTTGGGGAGGGGTGAGGTTCAGTTCAGGGCTCCATCCATCCACTCTCTTTGTTTAACAGGCGAGGTTTCCCAACATAGGTAAGAGTGCAGACAAGTACGTGCTTTGTCTGACTTTATAAATTTTTCCGTCCTCTGGAGTTTATAATTCAAGTCAAGGCAGCACCACTATCATTTCCGTCTATCAGTCACATTATGAAAAAATGTTTTAATCTCAAACTACCGCAACACTACCACATTGATAAGACTGGGCGTTACAGTAGTCCGGCTCATTTGGCATTCTCAGCACGCAGATCTATTTATTCAGAGCAAGGAGATTAAAACCAAACCAATCTGATTTGTTAGAAATGTCTTTTTTTTTTCCTTCCTTCCTTAATCGACATTCAACGAAGAACTGATTTCTCTGGCAATACTATTAATGTGCCTACTGATTGAGTACAGCTGAATTTTATAAGGAAGGAAAATATATTTAGTAGATCAACTTCTACAATTAGAAATAGAAAGAAATTCTGTGTTCACATATTCTTCCCTAGGACTACAGAACATTTTTATAGACACGCAACACTAAGGTACACCTCATATTGAACACTGCTAGCACCAGAGTGCAATACAAACTACCTGTGAATGAAAATAAAGCAGTTAAAGAAAAAAAAAATATCAGAGTTTTACTGAAGTAATTTGGTTTGATATTGTAAACATTGATAGGGGAGACCCAGCTCTCAAAAACATGAGCCTTCTGGGAAGCTGAACACTACAAAACCTTTATCTTGGACACAATGCAGTTGACAGACCCTAATGTTTGCTATAAAGATTAACATTAAAGACAGATAACTACTGTAAGAAACAGGATGACAGATTTATACAAGCCATAGCTCTTGGGGGGGCGGGGGGGGGAAGACATGCATGAAAGCCCTTCAATTTTTATAAAATCATTACTGAGACAGAAGAGCCCTGCTTTGCCACATTAGTGCTCAACTGTATCTGGTCAAGTGACACAGTAAACTCATTTTAAAACTGTGTGACTAGATTCTTCAAGATCACCACTAAAATTTAACCACAGTTCTGCAATGATTGACTAATACATTGGTTATGACCATTATCTCCTTCACTTAATAGAACCTTGAATCATAGGACTATCAAGGAGAAATAGCTGAAAATAATCATTTAACAGCAGGGTGCAAGGACCAAGCACAGTCATGGCTCATTTTTTAAAAAATTTTTATCCAGAGTCCTTGACACAAAAAGCTTGTGATCTAAAAAGGACAAAAAGACAGAGAAAGGCTTATAATACACAAACAGCCTGATCAATATCATGGTGGCAACCATGCCAGTTAGGAGCTAACTAAAACGTAAGACAGAATCTAGCCGAGGCAGTGGTAAAGCTTGGTTCCTGTAGTATTATGAACTGCTCAAAGGTACTGATGCCAAGGGAAAACCACACACTGAAAACTCTCAAAAAGCTTAGATTCTAATGAGTTTTCTGTTCTCTTTCAGACAATGCCTGGCCTTTTCCAACTGCCTTGTGTCCTATCTGGCTGTTCCTTGACGTCCTCTTTTCCACAGCTTCCATCATGCACCTCTGTGCCATCTCACTAGACCGCTACATTGCGATTAAAAAGCCAATCCAGGCTAGTCAGTACAATTCTTGGGCTACAACAATCATCAAAATCATCGTGGTTTGGCTCATTTCAATAGGTATGCGAGACTCGGAGACTGGAAAAGGAATGCAGAAGCTTTTCATGTCCAAAACAATAGGTGAAAGATGGGCAAAATGGAAAATTTGGTCAAGTACTATTGACTAACAGACCCTAACACCTGGGCTGGCCTAAATCCACCTCCTGGATCATACATAGCTACATCATAAAAATCTGCCTGAACTTCTGGTCCTTATCAGGCTTTCCAGAAAGGGCAAGGATTGAGTAGGGATAATCATCACTCTTCCTCATGGTCCTAAAAGTCCAAAAATCAGAAGACAGTATCCGCATACATAGCATGTCTCCTGGGAAAGCAAGATTTCATGTTCTGGTGGTAGTATATTCTGGCCCAAACACAATTTTAAGCCTTGAGCAGATGCTGCTAAAATCTGCACCTTACAACTGTCTCATGAAGCAACTAAAAAATGGTTTATTACATCAAAGATTGAAAGATAAATGAGTGGCTGGTAACATTCACACTGAAGATTGAGATGCACTGGCAATATAGCATATAGAAAGGCTAACTTCTAAGCAAAAAAAAACCCAAAAACCCCACAAACCAAAAACAAACCACACAAAAAAAATCCTAAACCCTGAACAGTTTATATAAAGGATGCTAGTGTATAACTTTTATGATATTAGCACCTCTGTGATGTGCATGTGGTACCTCACCTGTCTTTAATGCATAAAAAAAAAAAAAAAATCTGTTAAATGAGCTAAGGAGGTGAAAACATTTAATTCAAATAACTTAATGCACACTGCAGGCCACCACAGGCTTAGTGCTGCATGCAAGAGAAAGAACAAAATTATTCTGGATTATTAAGGCCAGTGATGCATAGGAGAATGGGTACATCCACCTTCTTGGCTGAGGCACACACACCTAAACCCAAAACTTCCAAAAAAATCTGGAAGAGCTGTGATGATAGGAGAAAAGATGCTATCTCTGTTTTATCACAAAAAAAGGAAACTGTTAGTATGCCAAGACACTTACAAGTTGACCTTTTAATGCCTGATTTATTGTTATTAATCAGTGCTGTACTTTTTCCATTTCTTTTTTATCTAACACAAAAGTACTCTGCAGCTGAGCCAGCATTCTCCAAATAAAAGGTTAATTTAGATGAATCCTCATTTTAAGTGTTTGCTGTATCTGAACATGTGCCTCTTATTAAAAAAGGGATCAAGTGGCTGAAGGGTAAACCATTTTGCTCTTGCTGCCTTCAACCAACTTCAGTAAGCAGAGTAGCAGAGGAATACAGTAAATCCCTAGATCTCATTAAGTGGTATCAGGAAACATAGCACAAATAACCTTCACCAGACAGCAAGGAACCTGTTGTTTTTGTTGTAATGTCAGACTGCTGGCAATGAAGTGCTGTCTGTAATTTAGTGGTTATAAAAAATTAATTTAAAAGACAAGACTGCTAACATTTTTTTTTAAACGAGTGGTGAATTACAGAGCTAGCTAGACTCATTTAAACACTCTTAAACATGCAAGAGACTTTAAACAACAAATCCATCTCAAACACACACTGCATAATTCTGGCATCTATTTAACTACTTGTATATATGGAGGAGTCAAGCAGTGTGGAAAAAAAAAAAATCAGCTGTCTGTGTCCAGTCACTTGATGTGGTTAAGATAAGAGGGAAAGACAAGTTTTATGTATTTACAGAACCACCCTTCAAAAAGTGCAAAGGTTACTGGGGGGGGGAGTAGGGGGGAAGCAGGTGGCATTAGGGAAACACATTTCACTGGAGGAAAAGCCATACTAATTCTAATAACTAGAGTCAAAGCAGTTCATGTGTTTTACACTTGAGAAGTTGGCAACTTTATACTGCTTCCTCAATCACTAAGGGTTAGGCCCAATCTCCTTAGAAAGGGCATTCTAAGCTTGCCAAGTCTCACAAAGTACTATTTGCCCAATTACCCACGTGATACTCTCAACGATTCACGTTCTCTCTGTCACCCTATGCCTGCTCCAGAGCTCAGGAGCTACCTTTCTTTAGAGACCCTGAGGCTTCAGGCCCAAAAAAGAGATTGCAAGCAATTACCATATGCTGAAGTACTTGGTTTTTCTCCTGTAGGTATTGCTATTCCTATCCCCATCAGAGGCATTGAAGATGGAAATGGCAACTCTACAAACATCACGTGTGTCCTGATGCCTGATCGTTTTCATGACTTCATTCTGTATGGATCAGTGGCTGCGTTCTTCATTCCCCTTGCTATCATGATAGTCACTTATTTTCTGACAATCCAAGTGCTACGCAAGAAGGCCTACTTGATCAACAAGCCACCTCAGCGTTTCACTTGGTCAACAGTGTCCACAGTATTTCAGCGTGATGCAACACCTGCCTCCTCACCAGAAAAGGTGGCCATGCTAAATGGCTCCCGAAAGGACAAGATTTTGTCCAATGACATGCCTATCTGCAGAGCATCTACAATTGGGAGGAAGTCCATGCAAACGATAACCAATGAACAAAGGGCATCCAAAGTTCTGGGGATTGTATTTTTTCTTTTCTTGTTGATGTGGTGCCCATTCTTCATAACAAACATAAGTTCAGTTTTGTGCAACTCCTGCAACAAGGAGGTTTTTCAAAAGCTTATGGATATATTTGTTTGGATAGGATATGTATCCTCAGGAGTGAACCCTCTTGTCTATACACTCTTCAACAAAACATTTAGGGAGGCTTTCAGCAGGTATATCACTTGCAACTATTGGACCACAAAGCCTATCAAGGCCCTTCGGAAGCGCTCCAGCAGGATCTCTTTCAGAAGCTCTGTGGCAGAAAATTCCAAGCTCTTTGTCATGCATGGGATGAGAAATGGGATTAACCCCATTATGTACCAGAGCCCAATGAGGCTGAGGAGCTCACCCATCCAAGCGTCATCGGCCATTCTGCTGGATACGTTGCTGCTCACAGAGAATGAAGTTGATAAAACAGAGGAACAAGTCAGCTACGTATAGTAGAATGGTAGCTATGTCTATATCATAGTATTACTGTATGTATTATTCTAGGTAACTGTGCTAGAAGAGGGTATAAATACTATTGTTTTCTGTTATTTATGCAAGCAATATCTTATAAATTTATATTAATTCCTCTCCTCCAAAGTCTCCTCTACTTTAACCCCAAGCCCACGGTGGCAACTACAACTTCATTCCCTGATAAATGACTAACGCAGAACTGTAGCCTACAGGAAGAGGAAAATAAACAAAAGCTAAATCAGTTTGAGTATCTGACTTCAGTTCTCATCATCTTCAGTCTCTTCAAAGCACATTTTTATAAGAAAAGCATCTCTGTACAAACACTATTTTAACATTCATTCTGGCAAGAAGACAGAACACTGCAGGTTGATGCTCTACGATGAACTTAGCAGGGGGATACAAGCTTGCTGGTTTAAATTTAAATCCACCTTTACTCTGTGTAAACAAAAGAGCACACAAGCTCACTGCATTGCCTCCTATAGATACATTCCTCTGCTGAGACTGCGTATCCAAGTACGAGCTTTTCTTGTTCTCTGAGGGTATGTGTATCACAAGCAGAATCACTCGCTCCAGAGACCAAAAGGTGTACGTGCCCATTCCACAAGGGGTAAAACTGGTTCTCAGCAGGGTGAGAAAAAATTCCATGTGCTGAAATTATCTCTTTGTGGTTTTACTGTAGGGGTGGGCAGAATCTCTTACCCACCTGAATTTCATCTCCATTACTCTCACATATACATAAGCCTGGTATTGCCAGATTTGTCACAGAAAGCTGCCCTTTGTTCTTTTTGTACTAAGAAAATTAGAGCATTTAACCAAAATAGGACAACACCACATCAATGATCATGAGTAAAACAGGACAGGGAGTGCCTGGAACACCCCTTTAATTTATATGAACGAACTTCCTTTTTTTATGACCATTGGAACTTCAACAAAAGCCTTCCTTCATCCAATATAGTTCACACAAAGTAGAAAAATCACAGATAGAATAGCTATTTCACTTGAAAATAAGAGCAAGTGTTTAAGAGACAGCAGAAACAACAGTACTATGTAGACCTGCACATGTTCACAGTTTAGATTAGCTCAAAATAATTTCATTGGCATAAGATTACAGGTCCCAAACTGCACTCTCTCAGACATGCTCAAGCCTTCCATCAGAGCACAAAATTCATAGAAAGAATTGCTCCTCACAATCCATAAAAGCTACCAGAGTCTATCATCTGGGAAATCAGGAGCTTCTGACAGTTCCAGATCATCTCTCTTTGGATTGGGAAATCCGCAAAGTACTGGAGTTCTTACAGTAAGCAGTCAGCTCACCATTTTTTTTAGATAGTTTCCATTTACAGTAAAATTTTCAGCTCGGGCTTTGCTTTAATTTTTAATGTTTTCAGAATTCTTTGGTTACACACTAAAATTATGTACAGCAAAAGGCTTAGGTTTTTTCATCCACAGAACAGAAAGTACTAAAGATAACATGTCCTTCCAACATTTATTTATAAATATTTAATTTAAAACATATGCAAGTTCAAAACAGAGCCTAACATAACAACTGCCAGAGAGTTCCAGGAGAAAGTATTAAAAATACTTTTGTGGTCCTTAATTTGTCTCCTTCCTCCCCTTTTTGGTGATAGTCACTAGCCATTTAAGTTAGAACAAGCTCTAACTGCTCTCGCTTCTCTTTCATTAATCAAAATTTAAGAGGATCCTGCAGTTAAAAGCCAGAATTGACAGACTGCTATAGCTGTGAAAGGTGCCTACGTCTAAAAAATATTTGAGAATCAAAAGCCTTCAATAAGACCTAGATTACTTTGAAGCTCAAGGAGGGAGGGAGTAGGAATAAAACCCAAAAAACCCCAAAACTTCCAGGTATGTAGCTGAAAACGTCACAGACTAGTGTCTCATTTAACCTAAAGCAGGCACTCTGCAACCAGGTAAAAGTGAAATCACATCCGAGCACAGAGTGATCACAGCAAAAAAATTAAAAGCATCATTTGCAATGCAGGAACCAGCCTTCATGAGGAATAACACCAAGAGGCAAATGGGCACAGCACTGTTCTTCAGGGGTTATTTCCCAGCAGCCAGAGAGCAAGAAGCAGTCATCTTTGAAAACTCTCTTACTACTTAAATAAATCCATGCCAATTAAACAAAAACTGCTCATACAGCAGGCAGCAATCATCCTCTTTCAGCAACAACTTAAATTTTCCCTTTCCAGCAGGAACATCACAGCTGGCTCACAGCATCTGGAAAGAGCAAGAGGTAACTTAGTTCTCTTCTGTCTGATCCCGTTCTTGTACAACCATCAGTCTGCAATGAGCAACAACATGATGAGTAATTTGCCCTAAGAGTCCCACAGACACTTAGGGCAAATTTCTGTGCCTCTGTGTAATCAGTGGTTAGACTCCACCAACAGGAAACAATCCTTGAAAAAGTCTCACCCAGCAAAGACGTATTTTGTCAAGCCAGCATATAGATTTCTCAATTTTAGTAGCCATAAATAGGAGCTCAACATCTTCCAGTTACTGAATTTAGTCAGCAACAATAAACCTCAATCAAAAGGCCTAGTGACCAATCAAAAATCCAGTCTTCCTACAGAGAAAGAAAATTTCTCCATAGTCAGAAACACATCATCAAGAAAACATGCACATTCTATTTAACATGCTAAGTGTAAAAAGAAATTGCTTGTCCACTGACAAAGCACACAAGCTAAGAATTCAGGTAAGTCTTAGAAAGCCTAAGGACAGAGGGCAGAACTATGAAATAAAAAGACAACATAACAGACAGCAGAGATCTTGTTTTAGCAACTGTATCTACAAGAACAGATTTGAACAAAGACATTACCTTCATTAGCAAGTCATGATGAAAATAAGAGTCACTGCAAGCTACTGTAAGAAAGCACAGGTTTGTTGTATGGTAACTAAGGACAACACTGCTCGTGTGGTACTGACAAGCAAGACAGGAGGCTCAGGGCTACATCCACGAGCATCATCTTTAAGTAACACAAATACATAAAATGTATTTTTACATGCTGGCTGTGAAAGAGTATTTTTATAGCTTCCAGCTTCCTGCATAAAGATAGCAGCCTAAATAATAGTTGATAAAAGGTTTGCAGTCACTTGCTAACAGATCACAAGACCTTTTTACAGGAGAAAGGGGTCATGCACTTCCCATTTAACTTAAAAAAAAAAAAAAAAAAAAAAAAAGACATTCATTTCTCTGGAGTGTAATGCTCTGAATTCTTTCAGAATCTGGCCCATGCCAAACCAACCCCCTGGCCAGCTCTATGGCCTCTATATACGACATAAAATAACAACTTACACAGCCACCTAGTTCAACTTCCCTCATTATCACAGGCACTTTTATCTGGCATATTTCATTTCTTTTTAAACTACTAGAGAAGCAAGACAGACAAAAGTCAAAGCTGATCTGCAACATACAAGCACTATGGGAAGAAATACATTTTAGAAGAACAATGGACAAGTATGGGGTTTTGTTGTTGTTTAATTATTTAAAATACATTAGGAGGTATTTAGTCAATGTTCTGGCTGCCTATCTAATTAAAAATTACAGCACAGACATGGACCTAAGGACTACCTATAAAGATATCCACCTCAGCAGCCTTGCAGACAGGAAAATAATGGAGTTTGGAGCCTAACAGAATGAGTGCCTTGAAATCCAAATAAAGGCAATACCTTAAACCCAAACAAAACAACAAAAAACCCCAGACAAAACCAAGCAAAACCAACCAAACAAAATCCCAACTTTTAAGCCACCCTAAGAAATAAAGAAGCAAGAAATTCAGCTAACCTCAACTGTGGTGATACAAAACGCATTTCATGAAGCCAGCCCCAAACCATCTGGGGTTCTATAAGCTGCAAACCTTTAGTTCAGATTCTATCAGAAAACTTTCAGGCAGCCAGAAAAATTTATTCCTCACTTATCTTGTATTCTCCAAGTGGAAAACTCTTCCTAACCACATCACACCTGGCCATACTAGTATCAATTTTCAAATGCATCATAATACAGTTTAAAAAAATCCAGTGTTAAGCAGAAGTCAAGGCACTGAGAAGAGACTGATGCTAAAAAGCTGTTCACTAGCATACAAGAGGCACACTGATTTTTTTTCTTTTTGGTGCTTCATAGAAAATGTCATTTTCCTACACCATTTTCTTATTGTGGAAAAATCCACAGCACTGCAAGCTGGTATGAGAAAGCAAAAGCATTACTCCCCTAAATCTTTTTCTAGACTGTCATATGTAACATTAGCCTTAAAAGGTAAAGTAATGCAAGCACAGTAAACCTGGTAAAGGCATACTGAACAACCTGGGACACTGGAGCCCAAAAAGGCAGGATGCTCACCAGAGCTCTTCTGGCTCTTTGTCTTGCAAGCTGGAGCCAGGAGTCCCAGAGTTCTGGCCAGTTCTTAGGACTGATTTAATATCACCATGAAGCATTAGCATGAAGATGCCTACGTACAACTGCTAACAAGCACTCCTTTGTTTCACTTCCCCTTTAGCTCTCTAGGTAACCATCAAAATGGCAAAAACAACAGTCAGGAGAGAAGTAACTTCCATATTTTTGCTTTGGCATTTGACACCATGGTGTTTACTGTCAGTGTCCATTCCCATGAGACACACTGTTTTGTCCAGTTGCAAAGAAAGGCTTTTGCCCTGCAGAACAGGAGAGGAAGCTTTTTCATTTTTAAATGGGAAGCTAGTTATAAAAATAGGAAAGATGCCTTGCTGTAATGTCCATTTTTACTCTTATTTTTAATAATTCATGTCAAACCCTATTTGTCTAGCCACACACATCTAAGATTCCTTGCATCCAGGTATTGAGGTCCTTTTCAACTTCTGACATCATGGTCTTAAAAATTAGGAGCTTCTTGCTCTTTGAGGGATCCTATTTAAAAATGCTCTAGACAGATGATAGCAACTCATTTTCAAATTCATTAAACCCTGCACAACAAATAAGCCTTTTATTCTGCAAGATGCACATCAATATTCCCTAATAAAATCAAACAGGAAGTTTTTGCCATAAAAAAATAATACATCAACTTCATTTAATGGCTCAAAGAATCTCAGTGTATTGTTTGAAACAATGAATGTATTTGTGCAATCTGATTGTACACCTACAATTTTCATTAGAAGTTAGATTAATTTTGCCAGAGGTGCCAAGTGACTTCAATGCACTACAGTGTGGTCAGTGAAGACACACAGCTCCGTTTTCAGTTTCAGAC